GCGATTTAATCTGGTAAAAATATATTTTAAATAACGCTAACATCTTTTTTTTTTTCCATTGAACGCATTCATTCTGTAAAACAAAAATATGCTTGACAAAATCAGTTCAATAAGTCTGCAATAGAAGGTCAGCTTTTCCTGTGACGAGGGCTGTGACACCTGAACCTAATAACTGTATATTGGAAAGTGATGCACGGACTTCATTTTGGGTTTTTTTTTTTCTTTTTCTTTTCTCTGTAAAGCAAAGTGTTTAACAAGTGTGTGTTTTGCAGATTTTCTCTAGCACTTTTTGGCTTTTGTGTCCATGGGCATATTGGAAGTGGTAAGTCTTATTCAGTCAAGTTCTATTAGAGATGGGCAGATGACGCTCTTGAGGCTTTTTCGTGATTGTACCAAAAAAGATTTAAAGCCTCCAAGACAGACCCTGCCAGTGACATCTAGTGGTCAGCTGCAATTATAGCAGCCACTTTCAAGTGATTCACAGTTTGTTGATCCCAGTTTCAACCCAAAAGTAATATTTTGCAATAGCAGCTGTCTTCATTCAGTCTGCTTCAATGGCGTAAAATGGGTTTTGGAGCCTCAGTGTCAAATGTCCCATCTAAAAGTTCTATAATTCAGGTTTGTCAAGATGTCTGACTCTTTTTATTTTATTTTTTTTATTTTGTGTGTACTTGTGTTTTAGTTGGTGGCTTTAGCAGTGGAGGTTATCCTGGGTACTATGAGGCTGGCCTCCCAATGCAGGATGTGAAGCAGCAAAGTTCCAGCTGGTATGACCAAGGAGATGTATCCGATCCCTTTAGGCCACTAAAATCCAAGAGTTTCACTTATGGTGCTACAGTTAATGGTGTATATAACCATGTAAACTACAGCCCTCAAACTGGCTCCTATGGCTCTGGTCCAGTGACTAGTGTATATAACATTGGTTCTGAATCTGATGTTCGAAGGCAAAATCCAGGCGCTCTGATATCTTCAGGTGGCAGTTTTGTTTCTGGTTCTCTAGCCACTGCATTGAGTACAAGTGTGAGAAGTAAGACCGTACCCAAGCCAGCACAGCTTAACTATCAAACTGTAGTGCAGACTAGTAAGGAGTCTGTGGCCTTTAATAGCCAGCAACCAGTGCAGACTGGCTCCCAGTCCAGTGGTCAACTGTTATTTAATGCCCAGTCCTTTGTCAAGCCCCAGAGAAGTAGACATCAAGTTGGTTCCAAGCTATTTTCTGGTGGCAGTCCCATCCTGAGTTCAAGTCTTGGCCAGCAGTCCGCACAAGCCAGCTACCAAACCCTGTCCCAGCCTAGTGGACAACCAGGACAGGCTGGTTACCAGGCTCCATCACAACCCAGCAGCCTACAGTCAGCACAAGCCAGCTACCAGTCCATGCAACAGCCCAGTGGACAAAAACCAGGACTGACCCGATACCAGCCTGTCTCTCAACCCAGTGGCCTGCAGTCAGCACAAGCCAGCTACCAGTCTATGCAACAGCCTAGTGGCCAAAAACCAGGAGTGACCCGATACCAGCCTGTCTCTCAACCCAGTGTCCTTCAGTCCGCTCAAGCCAGCTACCAGTCTATGCAACAGCCTAGTGGCCAAAAACCAGGA